CACACACACACACACACACACACATACACAGGCACACACACACACACACACACTCCCACTCAAATACACATTTAAAGAAAAAAAAAATGTATGTTCTACACCCCCATCGACACAATTTAGACCATTTCAGAAGAGGGCATTCAACCATACCTGTCAGAGCCAGCCCAGGCAGAGAGGGAAACAATATCCCAGCAGAAGAACTGAGATATTAGATAAATATTACCTGCATGCCAAGTGAAGCTCCTACCCACTACAACACAGACATGGTCATATATGCTTGTATGCATTCATAGTATGAAGTAAACTTATGAGAGAAAGAGGTTACCCTTGCTCGAACCACTTGTAGAAAGATTGACATATTTTCCAGTTATATATTTTGTTAGTCACTGGTATCTGATTCCACACTCCTGTCTGAAGTCCCACCCATATCTGATGTTCGTCCTCTATTCCTCTAATATCCATTATTTCCCCTGTGATTATTTTCTAAAATATATTTCATCTCATTTCTTCTAATTTCATCTCATCTTATCTCATCCCATCTCCTCTCCTCTCTTCTTATGTTGCAAGTTAACAGCCTTGATTATGACTTTCTGTTTCTTTTACAAAGGCCGATTTATTCAACAATGGCGGCGCTACATTTTACAACGAGGCTGTGGCAGGTTCTGAAGGGATTCCTCAAATAGCCATTGTTTGTGGCAGTTGCACAGCTGGCGGGGCGTATATTCCCACAATGGCCGATGAAGCAGTTATTGTGCACAAGATTGGTTCGCTGTATCTGGGCGGACCTCCACTGGTTCAGGCCGCGCTGGGAGAGATTGTCTCATCGGAGGACTTGGGAGGAGCAACAGTTCATTGCGGGTGAGCAATTTGGCTGATGTGTAGAGAGATGTCATATAGTGCTCAACTCTTTCAGTGCGCTTTTTGTGGCGTCAGTGGCCTTGTGGTTAGGCTACTGGACTGGTAATCGTGAGGTTGCGTGTTCTGGAGTTCGAGCCATGGGCCCGATATTGTGTACTTGGGAAAAGCACTCTGCACGAATTTTCCTCACTTCACCCAGGTGAGAATGGGTACCCGGCTATAGAAAGCGAAAGATCTTGTTAGTATGTTAGTGTTTTAGCGCCTTTAAATGGCTGCTTGCACTGTATGCTTCCCAGGAAGTTGAGGTTGTTTCAGAATGCTCTCAGGTCTGCTGGGGTATTAGTATGGATTTTGAAGCGCATAGAGCTTGCTCTTGATCGGGGATTTAGCTATAGTGCTATCTTTTTTTTTTGTCACATTGTATTTCACAACATTTTTTTTTTCTTTCTGGTATCTCAGGCTTGACCATTTTGTTGAAGGTGACACTATCTTATTTTTGTTGTCTTTTTTTTTTTCACATGTTCTTTTTTGGTTGCCTTATTAATGATCTTATTCAAGTCAGACAATCATTGACAATGAGAATGTGAGTAAGTAAGTACAATGACACTATGATGAAATAATAAGAGAATGTTAATAACAATAATTTGATGTATTTTTTTAGCATTTGATTATTTAATGAATTCATTTTTTCTCTAGCTTTTGCCGCCAATTCTAGCTCCCCCTAGAGACAAAAACCCCTTTCCCACTCTCCTTACATAAAGAGAACAGATTTTGAAGCTATCTGAGTGTTACCGACCCTGTCAAATTAATGAAAATAAACCTAAAAACATGACACCTTCTTCATGTCTTCAACAGGACCAGTGGCTGTACGGATTACTTTGCGTCAAGTGAGCCTGAGGCTTTTGAGATTGGCCGTGACATCATCTCCTGTCTCAACGTCAAGTGCAACAATGACCTTGACGTCCCAGATTTTGACGAGCCTTTGTACAACGCTGATGAAATTCCTTGTATCATCCCCACCCCAGATTCTCATCATGAGATGGACGTGCTTCCTGTGAGTTTTTTTTCTTTTTTTATGTTGTTGTAATAATAATAATAATAATAATAATAATAATAATATTAATTGCATTTATATAGCGCATATCCATGCTCTACAGCTTGCTCTGTGTGCTTTTCAACCATTATTACCCCATTATTATTCTGTCAAAAGGAAAAGAAGTATGATCTACATTGTGTTAATGGGGATGTAAAAATAGCTACATTTGAAAAAAAAAAAAAGAAAGTGCGCCAACAATTTGTATGTGCTGACCCTGTCAAAGAAGGTTACAGTTACTGATAAGTATTGCTCTTCTGACTTCAATAACTTTGCTTAACAGGGTAAGTAAAAACGTTGGAATTATAATTTTTCTTTCTACTTGGAGGATATATATCTTTTTTTCCCCGGAAGATTGAAAGTAAAGGTCTGTAGACTCAGGATGTCCGGACTTTAAGGGTGAAAATGATATAGAGCTATCTGTACGATGGAGACACAGACAATGTCTTCATGTCTTTGTTCAAGCCAGTTTGTCCCGATCACAGAGATAATGACTGATGAAAATTTTTTCTCTCCATGGATCCATTCTTTTTTTTCTGTCTCTCCAATATGGTGTACTATGGAAGAGTAAAAAGTGTTTTGACTTTTTGCTGTAGTTGTACGAGAAGTCGTTAAAAGTCACAACTCACTGTTGTTGGTTTTTTTTCAGATAATTGCTCGTCTGGTTGATGGAAGCCGCTTTCATGAGTTTAAAAACATGTTTGGGAAATGTCTACTGACCGGATTCGCTCATATCTGCGGGTAAGGAAAGTTTGTTGTGGGGAGCTGGTTGTGTTAGTTTAATTTAGTTTAGAGTTGATATTTTATCTTCATGTCTGTTTGATCAACCGTTCTCTGTATGTATTTAGTTTAAAAACCGTTCTTGTGTTCACTCACACAATAATTATGTGCACTCTCGCACGCTTACACAGTTACACAAACACCCTCACACGTTCACACTAACACACACACACACACACACACACACACACACGCACACGCACACACACACACACACGCACACACACA